ATACTGTGTGAAGTTCTGGTGTCTTTGAAACAAATATCTAAGAAATGTTTGGCTACAATTGACATTTTTACAGACATTTGGTCTGCATTTTCTGAAACATCAGTGATTAAATCCATATTGTTGGCTACTTTCCCCTCTGATCTGCATCTTTCTTTACATCTTGTGAGAAATTTATGAACAAAGTTATTGTTAATCCATACTGTCTGTCTCACCATTTAGATTCTTTTCAACAATCTTACTTTGCCAATATAGATAAACAATCTTCAGCAAGATTAACGCATACTACTTCATAATCACAATGGAAAGGAAAAGAAAGGAAAGGAAAGGAAACAAGGAGCTGAAGTTCTGTTTGATGTCAGTCAGAAGCTGAAAATATACACATGCTAGAAATGTGTAGATTTCCTCAATTACTATCTAAGCCTTCAGGGTATAATGAAGGTATTTTCAGGAAAGCTGGTTCCTCATAAAAATGAGCTTAAATTCATATTTTAATATTAGCTTGCTTTAATAAAGGAGAAAAGTATGAAAATAGTATACAGAATATTAGCACTTTACCTTATTTTTTTTACCAGATCTCATTTGAAAGCACTAAAAAACTATAGTATTCAGTATTTGAATTATAGAAGCCATGGTTTCCTTAAATGTTGGGATGGCATTGCAGTATCTGTTTACTAAATACAGTATAAACTGCAACCAGGTCTGTCTTAGTGTATAAGATTAGGACCTTAGCCTTCTCTCAACAGCATAACTTGTACATTGGGCCTTTAGCAGATAATTGTTTTGGGAACAAGATGACTGTAACATAGTTGCTATTAAAAGTAAAAAAAATGCACTCCTATCAACTATCAATATAATTTCATTTTTTCACCTTGTTTTGCCAAAGGAATACTATTCACGTGCATGCTTCCTCAGCAACTGTATACCTAGCAGTTCCATGTTCTTTGTGCTAAACTTGTGAAATTACAATACACAGTTGTTCTCCTCATTCCAATAAATTTGATGCAGGGATGTTTAGATCTAAGATGAGATGAGATACTGAAACAGTCAGTTTTTAGGAATATTAACATTTCTTGCTCAGTGGATAAGTCTGGAAAAATAGCTAAAAAAAGAGAACCAGGTGGACAATAACTTATGTATCAAGGAAAAAAGCTTTGACATTGGAGGAAGAGGAGAATAATAGCTAGGAAGTGAGAGAATTTGAGGATTTGGTAGAAATCTTTTGGGCCACTTCACTGCATGATATATTGAGATTTCTGATAGGGTACAAGGAAGTCGTATGTAAAGTAAAAAGAAAAAAGATTATCAGATGTTTTACAGACTTCAGAACTCCTTGTATCAGCAGCCAATTGTATGATAAATGGCAAGGCAAAGCTATTAAATTCAGTACAGGGAAGGCTACTTCCAAGAAGTACATTTTAAAATTATAAATTATAGCTAAGATAATAAGCATTCCTTCCATGGCTAAAAGAGCTTCTTCCCTTCCCAGAAGGCCTTAGAATGAAGTAGAGGAACTTCTGACCCTCAGAATGTAGCTGGACACCTGCAATCCTTACCTATGTTACTGAATGTGATGTTGGGAGTCCAATAACATCTGAAAAAGAAAAGGGATATAAATTCCCCAACTTCTAATTCAGTCAAGGACTCTGCGAGTGAAGGTGAGTCTCTTTTCTGCCTGAGAGGCATTTTTGAGGATTGCCCTCCAAAGAATTAAAGGGTCTTCAAGGAGAACTTCAGACAGGAGAAAATACAGACTGACCAACCTGCCTATGGCTCCCTATTGGAAGGAAATCTTTCTGTCTTTGTATGAGCGTTCCTGAGACAAGTTTATTACTATAACACAGAGTTATTTTTTACATGATAGGAATAGGCAAAGCCTAGCACGGAACTACTGTAACTACATGCTACTTGAGTTATCTGAGATCAGCAATGTTTTAAATCAACAGGCAGAGTAATAGACAAAGCAGGGTCCAGAGAAATTCTCTACACTCAAAGGTTGTGAAGTACTGAGGAATCAATGGCCCTGACATTACATTTTAATCCTCTCTCCTCTGCTTGTTTTTTCAGCTTTTAGTGTTGAAGCAAAGAGTCAGTTTTAATTCCATTCAAAGGGGAGCTGATTCACACATTAATATAATTAATTTGATTCCTTATCATTTGATCATACAGGGAGAAATCTGTGAACTTTTTGGATTGAATTACTTTTCTTGATAACAAGAGAAATGAGAATTATAATTATGCCAATTAATTTGTGTTTTCTCATTTCATACATGCAAGTCTTCACTTGATATTACAAATAATGAGCCATTCGCCCTAAGTTTATTTACAATAGACTAACTGATCAGCAGTTTCAGAAGTGGAGGCTAGCATTAAAAAGAGAGAGAAATATTGATGTCACTCTTCTTTACATAAAAACAGGTCATGCTTATTATATATAGGATCATCTGTTTTTGAATGCCGATTTGGAAACACATCCCTTCATATATTTAAAATAGAAATAATTCCAGCCTGGTTTCTCTTTTGTTTTACATAAATAGATTTTTGTGATCTCACTAGACTTTTCTGGCTATTACTTGCATTTTCTGAGCCAGCTGATTCCTCAGCAATGTTTTAAAATCAGGAACCACTGCTTTCTAGTCTAGCCTGTCTATAATTTGTCCATTCAGAAGGAAAACTGGAGAGTTCATGGACTTTCAAAAAAGGCATTACAAAGTTCAATGAAAACAAAATGCTGGATATAAACAAAGGATACAGCACAGCTTTATTTTCTGCAGCCAAGATTTTGGATGGAAGGGGTCATTTTAGATTACTGTGGATTCCGGTGGAAGTTCATTACAATCAATGGTAGATATGTGAGAATTGCATGAGAGTGCATGGAGAGGCTGATGGTATCTGCATTGTCTTAACTTGCTTACCTTCTGAACATAGCTGCACGGTTATTTCTGCAGCTACTTTTAAAATAATTTTTTTTGAATTCTTATATGTTTCAAGGAAAGCCTTTTACTGTGGCAGCTCCCTGACTTAATAAAATTGATGGGTGTCACCGTTAGATCCTTATTATACCTTTCCCACTCACACTGCTTTCTGTAGTCTCTATCTTCTTTTTGCTTTCCACAGAAATCTCATTTAAGCAGGACAAGATGAAATACGTAGCTCTATATTATGTTTTGTTGCTAGACCACAGAGTCCTCCATATGGAAACACCCTCAGGAGGCATCACCTTTTGAGAGTTGAGGGTTGTAAGTGATCCTTGAGAGCATTCTGGGACTGCACATTTCATGTCTGTGTGTCTGTAAGTTAAATTTGATAACATATTTAACATTATTCTAATCTTCATGGAAATAAATCCCTTCCATCACACTGAAAATTCCAATCTGGGATTGGAAGGGAGGGAACCTGGGCACAGCAGCCAGTCCAATCTAATGGTGCATTTTAGTTTTAAATAAAAAGATATATCAGTCAATAGGTCTGCTTCTTAGTATCTAGAGGTGTGCATATTTATTTATCACATGAGTATTCTATCATTTATTTTAGATTAGAAAGACTAGAAAAGATGAATGTGAATTCATATTATATGCCCCTTGAATGTTACTTCTGGCTTAAGACTTTAGATCAGTTTCTTAGTCTTCTACTCCACATCACTTATGAGAATAGAATAGAATAGAATAGAATAGAATAGAATAGAACAGAATAGAGTAGAATAGAGTAGAGTAGGAAGAGACCTTGGAGGTCTTCTAGTCCAACCCCCTGCTCAGGCAGGAAACCCTATACCATTTCAGATAAATGGTGGTCCAAACTCTTCTTAAAAACTACCAGTATTGGAGCATTTACAACTTCTGGAAGCAAGTTGTTCCACTGATTAATTGTTCCAACTGTCAGGAAATTTCTTCTTAGACATAGGTTGCTTCTCTCCTTGATTAGTTTTCATCCATTCTTCTTGTCCTGCCTTCAGGTGGTTTGGAGAATAGCTTGATTCCCTCTTCTTTGTGGCAACCTCGGAGATATTGGAACACTGCTACCATGTCACCCCTAGTCCTTCTTTTCATTAAACTAGACATACCCAATTCCAGCAACCATTATATGTTTTAGCCTCCAGTCCCCTGATTATCTTTGTTGCTCCTCTCTGCAGTCTTTCTAGAGTCTCAACATCTTTTTTACATCATGGTGACCAAAACTGGATGCAGTATTCCAAGTGTGGCTTTACCAAGGCATTATAAAGTGGTATTAGCACTTCACGTGATCTTGATTCTATCCCTCTGTTAATGCAGCCTAGAACTGTGTTGATTTTTTTTGGCAACAGCAGCACACTGCTGGCTCATATTTAAGCGATTGTCCATAAGGACTCCTAGATCCTTCTCACAGTTACTACCATTGAGTGAGGTACTATCTATACTGTACCTGTGCATTTGGTTTTTCTTGCCTAAATATAGAACCTTACTTTTTTCACCACTGAATTTCATTTTGTTATACAGGGCCCAATGTTCAAGTCTGTCAAGATCCTTCTGTATCTTAAGCTTATCTTCTGGAGTGTTGGCTATTTCTGCCAGCTTGGTGTCATCTCCAAATTTGATGAATTTCCCATCTATCCCCTCATCCAAATCATTGATGAAGATGTTGTAGAGTACTGGGTCTAAAACAGAGCCTTGGGGCACCCCACTGTATATGAGCCTAGTCTCAAATAAAGATTTTATAAACAAAAATCTTTCTTTGTTTTTACGGCTTAAAGAAAATAATAGAAAATGTGAATCTCTCCTTTACTGAAGTTAAAAGAGTGCAACTGGATGTTATCCAACTTAGTTGGCAGACCTGCTATATCATATTCAATTTTTTTCTCTTGCAAAGTGCCAAAAGAATGTGAGCTCAGCCTCTACATTTCATTACAAGAAAATAATACAGTGGTGAACAATTGGCAGAACAAAGCACTCATTGTCTTAAAGCACAACTTTTTCTGCAAAGACTGCATGTATCACAAAATAATAAAGTTCAGAACATTAGTGAGATTTTAAGATTATCTAGATCTTGTTCCTATATCACTCCTTCTAACATCCCCCAAGCCATGAAGACATATAACATTTTTGAATCACTATTTCAATGCTTCCATCTTCTGCATGGAAGAAAACCGGATGCATGAAGGCCGTAAATTATGCTAAATAGTCCTAAAGCAACATTCTGCTTAAGATACATTTTCTTATTCTCATCCCTAGTTTCCTTCCAGATTTAAGCTTCCCAATCCTAATTGCAGCATACAGTATTTTCAGATAGATCATAATTAGTGTCCATGAAAAAACATTTGCAAGAAATAAGGCAAAAGTTTACTTTATATTTACCTTTAAATTTTTAGCCCAAATATATGAATAAAGCCAAATGATATCTGTGGACCATATAGCGTTTCTTCCAGTTTATTGGTAAAGATTTCAGAAAAGTTTTCTCTAAGAAAAGGGAAGGTCCCCCTCTCTCCAAGTACTCCCACCAAATCATAAATTATAAAACATAATAATTTGGAGTTGTGCTTTCTCTATTCCATACTGTCTTTACTCAGTATTTCATCAGTGAAATATTGGTCAAGGTGCATCCAGAAAAATTATCAATTTTGTCAAAGTTATCCAACTTCCATACATACATATTTTAAGGCATTTGGGGAGAAGCATCTATAAAACAGGAATTCTCTGGAGAAATGGATCTTGCTGATTCTGATTAGGATTTGCAAAGCCGTTTAGCTACTTCTGCATAAGCTATTTCAATCTCTTTGTCTGCAGCACAAGTGTTGATGAATTCATCCCGAGCATAAGCATTGTTCAGGTATTGCCACAGTCTTGTCATTTCTGCTGGGAATTCATAATTTCTATATTTCTTTGTTACAATCTAAAATGCAAATGGAGGGCTTTAATACTTATAAATATTATTGGTTTTATTAAACATAAAATAAAGGAAATAACATTTTATAATGATTTTTTTGAACCTGACACAAGGATTATTTTTTTTGCCACTGACCATGCTTATTTTTGTTTAAAGTTGTTACTGAAGTTTTTATATGTTTATATATTGGGTTTTAACTTGTTTTTTGTTGGATTGTTATGAGCTTCCCAGAATAACTTAGGTGAGATGGCCAGTTATACAAATCAAATAAATAAATAAACAAATATATAATATTTATAGTTTAAAAAAAGCCAGTTTGGTGTAATGTTTAAGGAATCAGACTAGAAACTGAAAAACTGTGAATTCTAGGTCTGCCTTAGGTATCTACCCAGCTACATGACTTTGGGTTGTCACTCTCTCTCAGCCCTAGGCAGGAGACAATGGCAATCCACTTCAAGAAATATTGTCTAGAAAACTATAACATTCATTCAAGCAGCCTCCAAATATCAACACTGTGTCAGAACCACCAGCTTCGGCTTCGTACCTCGCCAGCATTCTGTCATCAGTGAGAGAAGAGAGGAGAACAAGGGGGGAACAAAAGATCAGTTCACTGTGTAGTTTGATGATGGGAAATTGGGAGGGGGGGATTGACAGTTGAAGAAGAACCGAGCAGCTTGGAATCCTTTTCTTGCTGGCGCCCTGGCATCCTCAAGGCCATTTGCTCTGAATGTGGAATTTCACCAGCCCAAACACCTCAGAATTCCGCATAATATCACAACGGTGCTGGCTTGGCTATGCTACGGACCAAGGGGGGAGGGCTCAGGGAAAACAGGGCTTACAGTTCTGTATTGCCGCAGGGAAATTTCAGATTCCGCTTGACCTTACTGCAACCAGTATTCCTTAATAAAAGTGCCTTTTCACTTCAAATGGAGTTGAGAGTTTTACTTCCCTAAGGGATCAAACTGGGGCAAGTCTGATATACTGGCTGAAAGGCACACATATACACAAAAAGGGAAAATAAAAAACATGCACTCCATGCTTGCACAAAAAGAGCAGGACTTGTGGCACAGCAGTACTTTTACTATTTAGAGGAAACATTAACAATGCAATAAGTTAGAAACTTTGACCAACCATAGAAATGATATATTAATTTTGAGAGAAAAGAACTAAACCAGGAGATAAATATGTGCCTAATTCTGCCAATAGAGGCCAGTAAGTCTTCAAGAATCTTAACCAATAGTTTGAAATCAACTTAACTAAATGATAATAGTATTAACTGTCTTAGGTATATATAATTAGCTTTATGGAAACCTCAGCAATTAGGAAATACATTTAGACAGATTGGCTTACTTTACATAGTTTATCGTCCTGAGCAGCATGAAGAGGTGTCTGTGCTGAATTTATTTGCCAAACATCAATGTTAATTAGATGCCTTTTGCAGAATCTGAAGTATTTTCTGCCCTATTTATGTCTTTACACTATAAAAAACCTTTAAACATGTATATGACAGCAAAATGATAAACGTGGTCCTGTATAATTTAAAGTAAACAGGTTTTGCCAATTATTGTGCATCCTGTTTTCTTTGACATGCCTCCATCTGCCACTACTGTCTAACATGTGGGCAAAATGCATACTTCTCACAGTAACTTTTATGTCTTCATTCACTCATCTTTTTTTTCCTCTCCCAGTTTTCAGAAAGAAAATGCTTCACCCATAGGATGCTTTGGAACCTTTGACTTATCGTTCAATGAAAAAAGCCAATCAATCAGAATACAGCTGGAAGGGACCTTGGAGATCTTCTAGTTCAGCCCCCTGCTCAAGCAGGAGATCCTATACCATTTCAAACAAGTGACGGTCCAGTCTCTTCTTAAAAATCTCCAGTGATGAAGCACCTATAACTTCTGAAGGCAAGCTATTCCACTGGTTGATTGTCCTCACTGTTAGGAAGTTTCTCCTTAATTCCAAGTTGCTTCCCTCCTTGATTAGTTTCCATCCTTTGTTTCTTGTCTTGCCTTCTGGTGCTTTGGAAAATAATTGACCCCCTCCTCTTTGTGGCAGCCCCTCAAATACTGGAATACTGCTATCATGTCACCCCTAGTCCTTCTTTTCTCTAGATTAGCCATACCCAATTCCTGCAACTGTTCTTCATATGTTTTTGTCTCTAAGCCCTTAATCATCTTAGTTGCTCTTCTTTGCACTTTTTCCAAAGTCTCAACATCTTTTTTGTAATGTGGTGACCAAAACTGGATGCAATATTCCAGGTATGGTCTTACTAAAGATTTATAAAGCGGTATTAATACTTCATGTGATTTTGACTCTATGGCTGTGTTTATACAACCAAGGATTGTATTGGCTTTTTGGGCTGCTGCTGCACACTGCTGGGTCATATTTAAGTGATCGTCCACTAAGACTCCAAGGTCCCTCTCACAGTTACTGTTTTTGAGCCAGGTTTCACCTATTTTTGTACCCTTGGTTTTTCCTGCCTAAGTGTAAAATCTTGCTTTTCTCCAAATTAAATTTCATTTTGATGGATAGGGCACATTGTTCAAGTCTGTCAAGATCTTTTTGAATCCTGAGCTTGTCTTTTGGGTTTTGGCTATTCCTGCCAACTTAGTGTCATCTGCAGATTTGATGAGCTCCCATTCTATTCCCTCATCTAAGTCATTTATGAACATATTGAAGAGTCCTAGGCCTAAGACCAAACCTTGTGGTACCCCACTGCTTACTTCTTTCCATTAGTACCATTAAGGATTTGTCAGCCAATTATAGTCAGTTTGTCAGCCAGTTACAAATCCATCTGGTGGTGATGCCATCCATCCCACATTTTTCTAGCTTACCAAGAAGTAGATTGTGTCTACTTTGTAAAATGCCTTGCTGCAGTCTAAGTATATTATGTCCACAGCATTGGTGGAATTCAGCCGGTTTGCACCAGTTCAGCAGAACCGGTAGCTAATTTTTTGTTGAGTTCAGTGAGCCGGCTGAATCCCACCACTGGATGGCACCCACTGAAGCCTTAGCCCTTTTTCACAAGACCCAGAACGGCCCTCCGGAAGTGCATGGATGCTGCTTCTGTAAGTCCATTCTGGGCCTCAGAGGCCTGGAGGAGTCCTCCAGGTGCAAAACGGCCTGCTGGAAGTGGGTTGACGCCGCTTCTGGAAGTCCGTTCTGGGCCTCAGAGGTCCAGGCCCAGAACAGACTTCCAGAAGCGGCGTCCACGCAGAGAACCAGTTGTTCACTATTTGAATCCCACCACTGATTTCTCAAGTCTACTAATTTAGTCACTTTGTCAAAGAATGAAATAAGATTGGTTTGGCATGATCTGTTTTTAACAAACCCATGGTGACTTTTAGTTATAATTTTATTTGTTTCTAGGTGTTCAGAGATTTGTTTTTTTTTATTAACTTTTCCAGTATCTTCCCAGGTATTGATGTTAGGCTGATTAGTCTATAGTTTCCTGGGTCTGTTTTTTTTTCTTTTTTAGAAGATGGGAACGGCATCAGCTCTTTTCCAATCCTCAGGTAATTCCCTGGTGTTCCAGGATTTTTTAATGAGATGGTATAATGGTTCTGAGATAACATCTGCCAGGTCCTTTAAAACTCAGGGATGTAATCCATCAGATCCTGGTGATTTGTATTCATGAAAATCAGATAGATGTTCTTTAACCATTTTCTTGCTTATTTTTAATTCTAGTCTGTCTTTTAGTTAGGTTTTTGGTAGGTTAGGCTATAGTTTCTTTTTGCATGAAGACTTATGCAAAGAATGAGTTAAGCAGCTCTGCTTTCTCTCTACTGCCTGTTACTTACTTGCCATCTTCTCTCTTAAGTGGACCTACTGTTCCCTTTACCTTTTTCTTGTTATTTATATGTTGAAAGAAACTATTATCTTTGAATTTTGTTGCAAGTCTTTGTTCATTCTGAGCCTTTGCTTTCCTGACTTCATCTTTCCAGATTCGGGCTATCTGCTGATACTCTGCCTTAGTTATGTGTCCCTCTCTCCATTTTTTGTTTTGTCCTTTTTGTCTTGCAGTTTATCAGAGAGATCTTTATGCAGCCATGCTGGTTTCTTCTTGGATTTCTTGTTTTTCTTTTTCAGTGGTATTGTGCTGGACTGGGCTTTTGTGATCATATTTTTTTGAGTTTCCCATGCTTCTTGAGTTGTTTTCCCCTTTAGGATTTTCATCCATGGAATTTTTCTTAGGCTCTCTCTGAGTTTGTTAAAATCAGCTCTTTTAAAATTTTCAAAGACACTGGTTGGATTATGTTCTATTGCTTTTGTTTGCATTATATTGAATTCCATTATGAAGTGGTCACTCTCGCCCAAAGTTCTAGCAACTTCGACTCCCTTTATCACTTCTTCTCTATTAGTAAGAAATAGATCTAGCATAGTCTTTCCTCTAGTTCCCTTCTCTTGGATGACAAAGTTGTCAGTTAAATTGGTTAGGAATCTGTTTGATCTCCCACTTGCTGCTGAGTTTGTCTCCCAATTGATATCAAGGATGTTAAAGTCTCCCATTACTACTGTGGTATATTTCCTACATACATTTGTTAGTTGTTTAGCAAAAAGTTCATCTATTTCTTCTGCTTGGTTGGGTGGCCTGTAATATATGCCTATAGCAATGTCATTCATTTTTCCTTTTATATTGACCCATATGGATTCTAGGAGGTTTTCAATTCTTAGTTTTGTGGATTTCTGTAGATTTTTAGTGATCTTTTATATATAATGCAACTCCACTTCCTCTTTTGTTAGGTCTGTTTCTTTTGAATAGTTTGTCATCATACAAACTATCTTTTGAATAGTTTGCATGATGACCTTTGGCCAGCATGAAGCCAAGCCTCCCCCAAATTTGACTTCTTCCAGATGTGTGGACTTCAAGTTACAGAACCCTCAACAAGGTCAGGCTGGCTGAGAAATTCTTGGCACTGATGTTCACACATCTGGAGGACAGCTAGTTGAGGAAGCTTCCTGTATCTATGCCAAAATGTTTGACATGACTTTCTAAAAATAGGTGTTCAGAGATTTTTCAAATTTGTACATCCTGGTAAGGTTGTTTTAATCCTATGTAAAATATATTTAACTTGGAAAAATACACTTGACTTATGACGCCATATGAATTATGAAGCTGTCATTTTCTAGGATGCTTCACGTGTCAGAAGGGACATAGAATGATAGAGATGGAAGGGGCTATTTAAGATATCAAGTCCAATCTTGTGCAAGGTTCAATCTGAAGCATCTATAACAAATGGCTCTCTGTTATATCTGTTTCAGTACATGCATTGAAGAAGAGCCTCCTGACTCTCTGAGTAATTAGTTCCATTATTAATTGCTCTTGCTGTCAGAAAATGTTTGCTACACCCTTCCATTACATAATATTACATAATATTCTATTCTCAAAACTAAACATTCTGTTTTCTTAATTTTCTCTTCATAGGACTTGGCTTCTAGTACAATGATCATCCTGAACTTATCAATATTAGGGATGAAGAAATGCCCAGCAAAGAGTACAAAGCTTACCTATAATTCTTCTGTCTGACCATTCTGATTCTAAGACTATAATAAAGATTTAAGGTGGAAAACTATCTTTTTTCTATTTCCCTGAACTTGTTGCAAATTTTTTGGCACTTTTTAAAAAATAGTAGCCAAAACAATTACAAAATTTGAAGTAGACTCTGACTACCTCAAATATTAAAATGCCACTTCAAATATTGAAGTACCAGACTTATTTCCTAAGATGTGAAACCTATATTTTTTTTCAGCTATATCATCCTGTTGACTCACATGCAGTTTAGAAGCAAAGTCCCCCTTAAGTCAAGTTTAAATTCAAAATCTTACTTAAGTAAGACTTGGGTAGATTGGCAGGCAATAGATCACAATTGGGGATTTATTACTGTTGTTTGAAAATCTTGAGCAAGACTAAAAGTTACACACCTGGTGTGTTTGGGTAGTACCTTGATGAATGAAGTTGCTATATATTTACAGGCTCTTCAACTCATTCAAAAGAAACCTAATTATCTATGCAGGACTATTCTTCTCTCTATATATACTTCTCTCTCTTAACAGAAATGGGAAACATGTCGTATAAATGGATCTTAGTATCAACCAATTATTGTTGGTATTTGAGTTTCAGGTCTATCATGGATAAGAGAGCATTTCACCTTGGCAACATGAAGCTTGGGCAGGAGGTTACAGTCGGCAAGGGTCAGCTCATCCCCATCAAGAAAATTGCGTTTTGACACTCTTTCCTTTTCAGTGTTGCTTGTGTCTATCTCTTCAGGCAAAGGATTTCTCAGATAGTCATCCAACTTCTTCAAAGCCTTTGTTAACCCTCTCTCAAGACCTTAATAATTAGAAAGAAAAAGTGGATAAATCAACTGTATAGTTAAATCTATGACAAAACAAAGGTATGAACCAAAATGATGACAATGCCTGTAATATTAGAATGGCCTAATATATTAAACATCCACACTATTAGCAATATTTTTGGGTTGTCAAGGACTGAAAACAGGATACACTAAAGTAACTTATAAAAAATATAAAACACACTGACTATGCAACTTTGTTTTTTTTTTTAAAAAAGAAGTAAGTCAAATTCAGATCAAAACAAGATAAAATTAATCAGATTGGATGAGAAAAACGTACCATAAACAATACTATTTTACTTACTTTATTAAAGGCCAGAGGCCAAAAACTGTACACAAGAAGCATGTTACAAAGGAAAATTAGTGATTAACTCTATAAATGCTCTGTCAGCTCTACAACAAACTTGGCTGCAGTCATTTTGCTCATTCTAGGTTGCTACAAGAATGGAAGAGGGTGTGGAGGATTTTTACTGGTCTAAACATTTTGCTGTCCCGTGGGAACCAAGGTCATTTCTGTCAGTTAGATGGGGGCATGAGCATTTAGTTAGAAAGTCTGCCAAGCTATTCTATTTGAGAACATAGCTGATTGCATGGCATTGGGGTGGGAAGTTCAACTTTGTAATATTGTTTCATTTTGGAGGGGATTTCAGACTTGGTTTCACTTTTGACAGTGCTGATACTATGTAACCAATAAACATGTTCTTTGAGGAAGTTTCAAGCCTCTGAGTTCTGATTTGTTTGGTCTTGTCTATCAGAACCTTGACATGCTCTATATAATATAGACCCATAAGAGTCAGATCCCAAGACTTCTAATAGAAATTCCAACTGAGCAAAACTTAACTAAGTTACACTTAACAGGGAATGTTGCATGTAACATGGATATAACTATGGCTGGTAATTTACTGCACACCCTCTCTGTAATATTACAAAGTATTATGTGAAACTTTGATTGGCCAAGGTTATGATGGCTGTGAAGGTCAAATACTATGAATCTATCTGGTGATAATCACAGTATATGGAGGATTGTGATTTGAAATGTAAGAACAGTAAATGGTAAAGAGCATAAATTAATACACATCATAAAAAACAGAAATATCAACTTCAGTATCGGATTAGGAATTCAGAATTCGATGACAATTGTATGTTGTTAATAAATGATGATAATGGAAATTCCAAAAATTAGTTTTGAGGAAACCTGTTCAATATTCTGAATAAACCCCATATAGAAAAAAATGATTCTGTTATATGATCACATTCCCCTAAAATGAGTAGGAATGAGAAAGAGAGAACTAATTAGGCTATTTGGAGACCCAAGAATGAATACAAATGATGAGTGGGACAATTTGCTTAGGAAATGGTTTGTAATTTTCAAATATAAGCATAAATCTGTTAATACATACATATGGCAAAGGAATATAAATTTAAAAGCATGATTGATTTCTTTATGACTGAAGACTAAGAGAATTGGTGAGGGAAAAAACAGGCCATAAAAATTTCTGAACGTGAAGCATACCATTTTGTTAAACTTGCAAGATTGGATCTTTGGGAAAGAGTTCCTTTAAAAAAAATGAATAATATTAGATTGAAAGCAGAGCTATTACAAGAAAAGGTAATCTTGAATGAAAAGTATCAAAAAGATAGATCAATCTCTCAACATAATACAAGGTAGAATAAAAAATAAACTTAAATAAAGAAGATGTAGAAGCTGCTGGGAACAAAATGCTATTCAGGTGGTCCTTGATTACAACTGTTTATTTAACAATGGCTCAAGTTAGGACAGCCTTGGAAAAAGTGATTTACAACCTATCCTCAAAGTTATGACCATAGCACCATGCTATGGTCATAACATTTATGATGAATGCAGCGTCTTGTGGTCAAATGGTCGTGAATTACAATCTTCCCAGTCAGCCTCTGACAATTGTATTGAATTGAAGTGAACTTTAATTGGCCAAGTGATTCATTTAACAACCACGGTAACAGTAGTCGTAAAATCTGGTCCACTAAAAATGATGACTCGCTTAATGACTGCATCACTTAGCAACCCAAATTCCAGTTCCTTTTGTGGTCATAATTAAGTAACCCTGCACCACCTGCAGAAGTGTAATGAGAAGGATGAAAAAGAATGTTTAGTGGAATTAAGTGAAAGAGGATATGGAGAAGAAAAAATACATATAAGAGAATGATTGCTGCAAATAATGAATAAAAATATTGCACAGTATTATAGAGAGAACAAGATCATTACAAAAATGTTCTTAAAGAGAACAAAGAATGGTTAAAATTAAGGGGCAGAAAAAAGGCAGAGAAATGTTGACAGAAATAAAAAATGCTTTGGAAGTTGCTGAAGAGCTAAACAAGGAATCTTAAGCAGGATGAATGGAATTAAAATAAAAGTGACGAAATTATTTGGGATGAAACTGAAGAAAAGCTGAAAGGAGTCCTTTGGAGATTTATATAAAGATAGTAATGAAACGTCAAAGAATGAAACAAATGCTACAAATGTTAGTATTAGGGGAAGGAGATGAAAAGCAAGTCATAAATGATGTAAAAATGTGTAAGCCTGCAGATGTAGATGGTAATTTGTCAAATGCTAAAATATGAATATGGTTTGCTCAGGCAGTGGCTGTGTGACTTAGTTAACATGTGTGTGAGGGATCAATCTGTGTCTGATGATTGAAAGAATGTTGCCACTGTTCTCCTATTCAAAGGGGAAAGGAATAAATGAATACAAAAATTACATGGGGATTAGGGAAGATGTTCGGCAGGATTCTGATCAAAAAGGCATAAGAAATAACAATGATCAAAATCTGAGAAGTGCAATGTGTATTTCTGCTAAGGAAAGAGGTGTACAATATTTGATTCTCAGTAGGTCACTGAAAAATGTTTGAATACGAGAAAGAAATTTTATTGTACATTTATTAGCTTATGATAAAATATACAGGGAAAATTATGGAACGTTGCCTAAATATGGAGTTGAAGATTGATTGCTAAATACAATAGAAGCAGTTTTATTGTAACAAAAGATGAATGCAGTACGAGAAGTAAATATATGAAAAATATGTTGTCCTTGGGTTTTTAATGCATTTTTGTCAAATGTCATATGAATTCTTGTACTGAGGGTATAGATGTTTTAGTTGTGGACACAAACTTACATGTACATTTAGATGTAGATGTTGGCATGTTTTTTTCAATGAAAAAATTGAATTGTAGTGAATATTACACAAACTGTATGATGCATTGAGTACCATAGACCTATATATCTATATATCAAGAATCAAGTAGTTGTGCTTAACAGGGAAAATGGAGTGGACAATTGCAAATTATGCTAAATGATAAACAACTAAAGTAAACAAATGAATCTGTGTAGAATGTTGACTAAAGATGAGAAAATAGCTGGAAAAAATGTTAACTTGTACAAACAGAGAAAGATTCTGGATCGCATGTGTTTTGTTCTGAGGAATGAATGTTTTTCTAAAAAAAATAAAAATGGCTTCTGACTAATTTATTACATGAGAATGAAAGTTGGATATATCAGGAAAAATGTAAACACAAGTTGTATGCAATAGGAATGAGGTCCTTAGAAATTTGCATAATAAAACAAGGGTGAGAATAAATGATATGAAATGAATGTGGACTGAATACAAGAGCAAGTGATTAATATGAAAGAAGCACATTCAGATAGTTTGAGAGAATGAAGGAGATTGAATCATAAAACAAATATATGTTCATTCTGCATCTGGAAAATCTGATATCACCTCTAATATTGTATTCCTCTTGAGAAAAAACCTATTTCTACCATAAGAGTCAGGCAGCAGAAAATATTAGAGAATTTAAAACAACAAATTTTCTCTGTGATTTTGGTGGTCTTCTGTCAAAGAAGATGTCAAGGGCTATCTTTATTGTTACCACACCTGTTATATCATGCCAAACTTCTCACTAACAAACTGGCTGGAAGTTGCATCCATTCCCTCCACATAGAGGCTTTGGCATTTAGTTTCCTTGGGTTTGATTACTCACCTACCACATGCCAAAGGCCTGGATGTCATTCTGGTGGTGGCTGATCTTTTCCCATAGTGCGTTCCCTCCTCTCCTGAAATGGCTGGTCTATTTTAGTCACAGGTTTTCTGAAACCACAAGCTGCATTACCATTTCATTTTTGATAGAGGTACAGAATTCATGGCAGGTTTTTTGGGAAAAACCTAATTCAGGATATAAACCTCTAGCTGGTTTATATCCTAGAGCTGAATTAGGTTTTTCCCAAAAAACCTGCCATGAATTCTGTTTTGTGTTCATTGCTAGCTGTTTTGTGTTCATTGCCTACAATCACAGGAACATCCACAGGGAGGGGGTTGGGAGGGGAATTGTTAAATCAACATCATGCCACAGTAGCACAAACCTCCGCTCCATTTGCACATCTTTGAAGACACTGCATGCACATACAAAGGGAGTGAAGCTTACATTATGATAGCATGATAAATTTAATAAATTAATTAATAATAAATGATGCTTCTTTCATCACTTTGACAAAATCCTCCATTCCTGAAGATATATCCCCATAAATGGATGGAAAAACATACAGGACAAATGCCACCTTAGAGCAATAATGCCATTGCTAAACAAATCACCAGCAAGAAATAGGCCTGATACGGCTGCGTTTGCTTATTATAACTGGGTTCATGCTTCTATTATAATGTTGCAAATTCAGGCCATTTTCTGTGAGGACTCATATTTGGAAAAGTTGGAAGCCAAGAATTTAAATCCTGAACCAGGAATGTACACAATTTGATTTCTCGGTTTACTAGTGGGCACATCTTCTATCCATGCGTAACTGTTACCTTGTCTGCAAAAAGCAACTTGTCTAGCCATGCCATATCTGCAAGTTTCTGCTGCAAGCAAATTCCTGAATATGAGATTTAGTGTTGGGAGAGATTTATTACTGAGCCAGGCATAAAGTCTGCCAATTTCAGCCTAAATAGAAATT